GGCGCATTCGTGTCACCACCATCGCCAGAAAGTGAGTACCCTGTGGCAGAAACTTCAGCTCCAGCCTGTGCTGGAATTGTCAGTCTTTTGTAACATGCACTGGCACACATGGATGCCCGTGGCACTAACCCTTTGCTCACCCTGCAGCTGGGCAGATGCACAGACTCAGCTCCAGCACATCGAGGCAGCGTTTGACCAGGAGGCRGCTGCAGTGCTCATGGCACGGCTGGGAGTGTACAGGGCTGAGTCYGAGGAGGGACCCGATGTGCTGCGTTGGCTGGACAGGCAGCTCATCAGGCTGGTGAGACCAACACACTGAGCTTGGGGGCATTCTTGATTTCAGTAAAAATGGAAGTGACAGCAGTGATCTTTTTTCAGGTCGACTTGCTTTGTCTGTGCTCTGATCATGGTCACTTAGCTGTAGTATCTGATAGCTCAGAACCCAGTGTGATCAGCAGATTTGGGGTGGGGTAGGTGAACGTGCCATCACACTGAGAGGGTTAAACCTGAGATTGAATAAGGAATAGTGAAACTGCAGCTGGGAAGGTCTCTAGTTCAACTTTCCTGTTTAAAATAGGGCCAGCTTTGAAGTYAGAGCAGTTTGCTCCAAGTGTTGTTCAGTTGAGTTGTGAAAATCTCCAAAGATGGGATTTCTCTTGCTTCTCTTAATGRACTCTTCCAATGTCTGATCACAGTCATTGTTTTTTTTTTCTCTCTCACACCTCTATCCCTCAATTAGAATTTTCATTTCTCCAGTTATCAGTCAGGTACACAGATTTGGCTCCCTGATCTCACTCTGCACCAGGCTGAGCAAACCCAGCTTCTTCAGCCTCACTTTCTTCATGAGGTTCTCCATCTTCATTGTCATTCTAGTAAGACAGAGAAATCACTGACTTAAAAGAAAAATAGCCTGTAAATGCTGGATTACTTGTTCTTGTCAGGTTCATGCCATGATTGTTTAAAATCAGAGGACACCCTTGCAGAAAAAAAGGTGTTAATTCTAATTTAAAAAAAGGAAGGAAAGAGATAAAAGAAAGAGGTAACCAAAGTATCCATTTTGCTTCCAACAGTGTCAGAAATTTGGACAATACAACAAGGATGATCCCAATTCCTTTAGGCTGTCAGAATCATTTTCTTTGTATCCTCAGGTAAGAATRTCACTTCCCACAGTGAGAAAAGTGTGCAAGGAGTGAGTGAGAATGATGATGAAACATCTCATATTTATCAGATTCAGGAGGGGAAGAACAGATACTTATTTAATTGAATAGACTGATCCTGTGGTTCAGTGCTTTAAGCGACTGAAAAAGGAAGAAATCTGAGGAGTTAATATGGGGTAGACTTCTTCAAAAGAGTTTGTTGTTCAAAAGGGTTGGTATTGGCAAAGTTTTGACAGCTCTGGATGACATTTCTTGTTTCACTCCTCTTTCTGGTGCAGTTCATCTTCCACCTGCGCCGCTCCCCATTCCTGCAGGTCTTCAATAATAGTCCAGATGAATCTTCCTATTACCGGCACCACTTTGCCAGGCAGGATCTGACCCAGTCCCTCATTATGATCCAGCCCATCCTTTATGCTTATTCTTTCCATGGACCTCCTGAGGTGAGTCTGTGTTTTCTGGAAAGAGGTGAATCAACCCGCAATATTGGGTATTCAGCTGGAGTAACAYTATTTCAGCCAAAAGGCCTCTGTAGATTTTTTTTTTAATTATTAAAGGACAAGGATTTTTTGTTCAAGATCGTATCAAATTACACTTGGATGAGCACAGGAATTTCTGTCYGGCATCCTGAGATCTGAGGGTTTAGGGGTGTCTGACTCTCTTTTTTTATTTTCCCCAGCCAGTGCTTTTGGACAGCAGCAGYATTCTTCCTGACAGAATCCTACTGATGGATACTTTCTTCCAGATAGTTATCTACCTTGGTGAGGTACAGTGACATATGTTCTCTTTCTGTGTTTGTACTTCTTCTCTTCTGCCATGTGTGCAGATAGCATTGCTGTTAKTATGAAATTAGCTTCTTGCAAAGCCCACACAGCATAATGACATGGTATGTACATGCTGCCTGGTGAAATACAATTCCAGCCACTGTCGGAGTGAAAATAATACTGGAATTACCAAGGATATGTTCTGCATTGAGTAGCTTGGCCGTGAAAGTGGCCTGGAAAAAGCCAGAGAGACTTGAAATGAAGCAGGGCAGAGTTACAAAATAATACATATTATAACAGAGTTGTAAGTATTTTCAGATAAGTGACAGACTTTCTTGCAGGGTTTTCACAATTTAATACTGTTGCTGCTAAAGAAATCAGTTAGGCAGTTTTCCAGTTTCTGCTTTTAAATACTGGATRTTTTTGGAAGCTGCTGCTATATTCCTTCCATCATGACTGAGGTAAGTACTTAAGATACTGGCTCTTTCTAAAAATCTTCTGGAGTTACCTTAAAGAGTTTCTGTCTTCTGTTGCAGAGCAAGACGCTCAGTAACTGAGTAAAATTTAGGCAAGGAAAGAGCTGAGTGTCTGATCTGTGTATGTACARAGCAATTGCTACATATATACGGTAMATGCAGTGGGTATCTTGAAAATACTGTAAGGCCAAGTCACAATAAAATGTCAGTGATTTATAAATGCTTCATTTCTGTGTTGGCACAGGCTGAAATATATTGAAAATTTTTAACAAATTGCTCTTGCACAAATTGTTACCAGCTTTTGTGTTGAGTGCCTGTGCATAAGTTCAGGGACAAACTAATGATGCCAGATTAGTGAAGGATTGTATTTGCCCTCTAAGCAGAAGTCCCTGTAACATTCTGCTGCCTTAAGGCATGCAGGGTGAAACTGGGAGGCTTGCAGACATCTGTACTCTGTTTCCATCTCCTCCCTGTCGACAGACCATTGCACAGTGGCAGAAGGCTGGATACCAAGACATGCCTGAGTATGAAAACTTCAAGCACCTCCTGCAAGCCCCACTGGATGATGCCCAGGAAATCTTGCAGACCAGATTCCCAATGCCACGTTACATCCACACGGAGCACGGAGGCAGTCAGGTAAGGAAGTTTCTGGAGGGACTCTTCCTGTTGTTGCCTGCTGCAAATGGTTCATCCTGCTTTTCTGAAAGGATGGTTCTGTAAGTTACAGTGCTAATTTAGCTCTTCAAAGTAGAGAGCTTGCATATTTTCTCATCAGCTTTTCCTTCAGCTCTGTCTTTCAACAAGCTAATCACTTGGTGGATAKCCTTTTGAAATCTGAGGGTGGAAAAAAAAAAGGAAAAGCTGACTTAAACATGTTTTTATTCCCCAAAGATGAGGGAAAGGAATGATTTGCTTATGTGTCTATAGTTAGTTTGCTAGGACAGTAATACTGAATGATTGACCATCTGTTTCTTCATTCTTAGACACTGAATGAGGGTATAAAATAGTTCCCATTTTCTCTTCTTCTGGAATTGCAGTTGTGCTGTGCTTGTCTGTWGCAGTGAAGAGGCAGGAACTGACGCTCCAAACTAAAGATTTGGGGTTGATTTTTGATGTGACTGTTACACTGGCTTTGCACTGAGCCCTTTTGTGAAGAGCAGATGGGGCATGAGGAGAACAGTGCTGGTGTCTTGCGCTGTCCCATGGAACCAGAGCTGCCCTGCCAGACAAGCACAGCCTGCTGTAACGGGTACACCATGCCCCTTGGAGACAAATTGTCTGTGGAGCTGGGCTGTTTCTGGACTGGAAACCTGCTTAAGTTAAATTAGTACCTTGCAAAAGAAGAGGAACATTGCTGGTCATGGATCTGAGGTGGGAGGAAGCCTGAGGGAGCAGACAGGTCTGTCTTTTTTACAAAACTCCTCTTTTGTCTTTGTAGGCCCGGTTCCTCTTGTCTAAAGTGAATCCWTCTCAGACCCACAATAATCTCTATGCCTGGGGCCAGGTAAGCTGTGGCAGAGCTGCTCATGTTTGGGAATGCTGTAAAATACACATGTGCATGTTCATGTGTGCTGTAGCCATCCTGTCTCACCTTGTGGCCATAAACAGTGTTACATTTGTCTTTGGTTCCTTATGGTTGATAACAGCACTGGTGGGGGGCACTGAATGATCAGACTACAGTTTTCAAGCCTGGATGTCATGTATTTCCAGTGTTCTGGAAAAAGTAACTAGCATATGGTTACACAGAGACCTAATTTAGCTGAGAATACYAGACTTTTATATCCTCTTTGCTTACCTTGTTTGTGTAGAGCTTTGGGCACCAAAGTTCGTAATGCTTTAGGAAGAAGAGTCTCCCCTCAGATTGCACTAGAGAATAAGGTCAGTGCTGTCACCAGAGAATAGCATCTGTSTTTTGCAGGAGAAAAAAGTGGTTGATTTAGCAGGCAATGAGTTCAGAGTGCTGACATTTGAATTGCTTTCAGTTAGTCCCTTGTGTTAACAACAGTATTTTAGGCTCATTCTTTCTTCATTTTTTTCTGCAGGAGTCAGGAGCTCCAATCCTGACAGATGATGTGAGTCTCCAGGTATTCATGGACCACCTAAAAAAGCTGGCAGTTTCAAGTGCATCGTAATGATCAAACTGAGCAGCAGGAGCAGACGATTTACGTGTATCGTGTTGATGACAGAAGTGGAGCAATTTATTTACATTTCCTTTTCTCTCTTTCAAAGTAGSGTTTTTAACTGTTACACGAAATAAACATTCAGGGAGAGCTTTTCACTTCTCCCTTCTAATTTATTTGTATCCCTGTTTGTCTATATTATGTTTATGATRCGTGGAAAATGCAGAGTAATTAGAGCTGTAAGGTGTTTTAGCCAACAAGAGATTATGACAGTTTTAGCTTAACTTTTAATATTCTTTAGAGGTGTCTTAGCAGCCAGGGGACTGTAGCAACGAAAAATAAAACCGGGTCGGATCTCTGCTGTCCCCAAATCGCGCTTTTGGTGGCAGGGGCGGGTTTTGGCTCCTTTTCCCTCTCCCGCCCCTTTGCGCGTGCCCCGCCCCGCCCCTTTGCGCGTGCCCCGCCCCGCCCCTTTGCGCGTGCCCCGCCCCGCCCCTTTGCGCGTGCCCGGTTGTGGGCGGGGCGTCCCTGGCGGGCGGCGATGAAGCCGGCGCGCGCGGCCGTGTGGAACGCCAGGGCCGCTCTGGTTTATTCGCTGGGCGCCTGGAGCACGCTGGGCGCCCTCATCTACTACAGCCGCCAGGACAAAGGCAGCACCGGTACCGGCAGCGGGGCCCGGGGGCACCTCCGCGGGCGGGGAGGCAGGGACGCTRCCGCGGCTTCGCTGAGGGAGGGCCCGGGTCGGGCGCGTCGTGTCCGGGGCGGTGCTTGTCTGAGGGGGAGCGCGGCCGCGGGCGGGTCCTGGACTGTCCCGGCTGCCGGGGAAAGGCGTGGGGATAAACCCAGCTCAGCTCCCGCCGCTTTCCCGGAAAGGCGTGGGGATAACCCCAGCTCAGCTCCCGCCGCTTTCCCGGAAAGGCGTGGGGATAAACCCAGCTCAGCTCCCGCCGCTTCCCCCCTCGGCTGCCGGAACGCGGCCTCTCCTGGGCCGCCTGAGTGACCCCCGGCCCCCCTGACAGACCCCGCTGGAGGAAGACAAATCCCGTGTTGATCGGAGAAACTTGTACTTTATCTCAGATCACACGGACTAGACTTCCTAAACTGTTGGCTTTTATTTGCGCTGTGGTAATGGTTCAAAGCTGGGCTGGGGCAGGATTATGCTGGACATTAGGAATCATTACTGAGAGAATAGGCAGATAGTGGAAAAGGCCTCCTAGAGAGGTGATCGACACCCCAAATCTGTCACTGTTTTAGAGGCATTTGKACAATGCCCTGAACATGCTTTCACCTTTGGTCAGCCCTGCATTGGGCTTTAATGTGGGAAGCCTGTTGTTAYTGCTGCTGCTGTACTGATTCTTGCTCAGTACCAGTGCAGGTATCTCACCCACACTAGTAARTAATTTTTTCTGGCTACAGTCAACAGATCTTTGCTATCTATTCCTCAGAATGTGAGGAAAAGGAAAAAGAATTTTGAATGCCTGTGTGGTTGCCATGATAAAGGGATAAAACTTTTTTATTGCTCTTGTTTGTCTCCCCTKCCTTACTCTCCATTCTATTCCTTAGAGAATGAAAGTGATCCTGAGACAAACCAAGGGACCCACAAGGAAGTACGCACAAAGGAATATCCTTTTGGATTGACAGTAACAACAGAAATAACTTACAAAGAGGTTCAGCCTCCTCTTACTCRACTGTTACGGCGTGTGGTATCATTCTTTGTTCCTAATGACGGTCCTCCTTCCGAGAAGTGAGCTGTCCAAAAGTTCAGAACACTCTGCTGGAGCTCTGAGAACCTCATCCSAGTGTCTGGCACCAGAGCACTGCTGGAAAACTGTCCCTTGCGGTTCTGAAACAGCAGCTCTGGCCAGCTGGTGTGAAGTTGTGTTCCCAGCTGGTGTGCAGGACGTACCCAGATGATCCAGGATGTACCCGGGATGGCTCCTCAGCTCTGAGATGGATACTTTGGGAACCATTAGTAAATGGCAAGGAATGACATTCAATGTTTTGGAACAACAGTTCTTCATTGTCAGTCAAATAAAGGCTCACAAGACATGAGTTACAAGTGTGGAAATGTTACTCAAAGCTAAAAACTTATTGAATTTTCTGCTCCAGACTTGTTTCTCTAGGGGTTTTCCTGATCCTTGCACATGCTATGTCCCCATGTAGGGTACTGTCCCTCAGTTCTGCAGCCATAACCAATGGTCATTCTGTAGGCTTTTCCCAAATCCTTGTGGACCTCCTTTCCCAGCTCCTGGCCATCATTTCCTGTTGGTGTTTCCCTCAGTTTCTGTCACTGCTCAGCCTCGTTGCTCCCTGCAGCCTCCACTTCTTCCAGAGCTCTGCTCCCAGCTCCTACTTTCTCCAATCCCTGTGGACATGGCCTCCCTTCAGGGGAGGCTGAYCCAAGGTCCTGCACCAGCAGAGCTCTCATTTGTAGGGGCTTCCCTGTTTCTGCTGTAGCTCTCTCTGCARTCTTTTAGGACACATCTTGCCCTGCCCCACACAGGTCTCTAAGGTCTCCCATCTTTATGGAAAGCTGTCTCCAGCTCCTGTGCCCACACACCTCAGCTTCCAGATCCTTCCAGTGTCTCAAGGGGGCCTTCAGGGATCCTGGAGAGGGACTCTTCATTTGGAACTGTGGTGATATGACAAGGGGCAGGGGGTACAAATAAAAAGAGGGGAAATTAAGGTTAGATATTAGGAAGAAATCCTTGACTCTGAGAGTGTTGAGGCACTGGAACAGGTTGCCTGGGGAGGTTGTGGATGCCCCAGCTGTGGAAGTGCTCAAGGCCAGGTTTTGGATAAGACTTTGAGCAGYCTGGCCTAGCGCAAAGTGTCCCTGCCCRCAGTAGCGGRTTGGGACGAGGTGATCTTTAAGGTKCCCTTCCAACCCACATCATCCTATGATTGATTCTGTGGGAGCTTTTACAGCACATACATCTGTAGATCCACTTTTCCATACGGTTCTTACAGCCACCACTTCCTTCTCCCAGCCACTTATTTTTACAGGCACCCTGCTGTGTCCCTATAGCTGTTCCTATAGCGGATGCCGCTCTGCAAGTTCTCCTTTTAGTAGGCACCCCCCAAACCCTATAGACAATAAGTCCCTGCAGAG